ACATGTTCAATTGGAGTTAATTTAATATAAGTTTCTTCGATGGTTTTTGAAGAAGATGCTTTAGCATTTGTCTTGGACATGTGTGTGTGCGTAATTTTTTAAAATTCAAACAATATACAATTAACTATATCTGAAAAAATCCTTTTCTGGGGGAGATGCCTCCTTCGAATATTTATATACATGTCTTTAAAGAGAAAGAATGTGTGAGTTTTTTAAATTAAAAAATGCTTGATGAAATGTGCTTTCTTTCCTTGTAGTGAAAAAAGTTAACAAACCCAAAACATAGTTTATCATATGAAAATAATATAAAAATAATTAAATTGACTATCGTTTAAACTTTTAAATTTTTTGTTAAATTAAAGGGCAATTTGATCTTTTTATCATTACTATAACTCGAGTCATCTAAAACCAACCAATTTTATTCAGCTTTTTTGAAGCCCATCACATCGACATACAGTGCACTTTTGGACTCAAACTCTTCATGGTTTTATATAGTAAATGCCAAAGAATAATTCTATGAAAAGTTTGATGTAAAATATTTATTACTTAAAAAGCTACGGCGGTTTAGATATCTGATTTTGCCACTTCCGTAGATCGTTAACTATTAAGAGACGATCTTCACCCAAAAATTTTTCTTTTGATTTAAGGGTGCAAACGTATGAACACAGCATAAACACGGAAATGCGTCACTTTCCATATGGCCATATCATGTGCCGTAACCCTAGCTTAAAAAAATGAAAAACAAATATATAATAATAAAAACATCAACTAGCAATGAAATTAAGAAATGTAGCAAATGATTCATCAGTTGGTACTTTAAGGGTAGGGGGAATCACGTGGTAAATTAATAGTAAACAATGGCTCAAAAAAAAATTTTTAATGTTGATCATCATAAATAATTAATAATAATAATAATAACGTAAAATAATAACTCAACATTATCAACATTAACACTTAATACTTTTGCCAATCAGTCTTAACACTTAAATATTTAAACACTTTTACAAAAACTTAAACAAAAACATTTATGCTTAACAAAAACCAAAAACCAAACCTTTGCTTTCTATATTAAAGCAAATAACCAAAACCTCAGAATTCTATACCACTCTGATAACCAAATGGACAATTAAACCCTACTGTTTAATTTCTGACCAAAAAATGTTTTATTAAGCAAAAATTGAATTAATTATTTGTAAATAAATTTTATATTATAAGCAAGGCCCGAAATATTAATTAAATAGTTAATTAACCAGTTGATTGATTGATTGTTCTTTCACTTGGTCAAAAGGTAATAATTTTTATGTTCTAAAAATTATTTTCTTTTTTAAATTAATATATAAGAAATAAATAATAAAAATAAGTAATAAAAAATATTAATAATAAAATGACACATGTCCAAAACATGATTGGACAACAATCTGTTTTATCACATTATTAATATGTAAATCATATTACAAATAGTATTCCAAGAATAAGAATACACCATTTCCTCAGCATCTTCAGCAACACCTGTAATTTTTGAATCTGATATCCAAAAAACCAGTGCCAGTTTTTTTCAATGTAACTGCTTCTACTATTATTTTTTTATTTATTAAATCATCAAGTGAAATGCCTGTTTTGAATTCCTAATTGTTCTATCAAAAATTTTCCTCATAAATTGAAAGTTTCAATTGAAGAAAAATTCCAATTACATCATCTCTAACAATGATATTATCTTCTAATTCTTCAATTGTTCTCCTAATGATATTAATTACTCTAATTGCATCTGTAGTTACATTGATTAAGCCTGGGTTGTCAACAGCTCTACATTGACAATTACTACAGTTAACATAGGAAGAAGACACAGTATTTGCTGACCATGCATAAAAGTTAAGTAATTTTTGTTGGAAGCATTTATATTTTTCTTCACAAAAAAACATTATTTCATGAAGGCTTTGGAGTCCTTGTTCAAGATAAATTCTCCTTTGCAAAAGTTTCATTTTTCAAGCACTTGGTCACATAAATAGGTAATATTTCAATATTGTCAAATCCTAATAATGTTGGTATAGATATTTTCCTGAAACTCCTAATTCATCTTTGAAGTTGTTAAACATATGATCATAATGTTTTATTTCCTTTGAACTGGTGAATGTATAGTCATTTTCAAAATTTTCAAATGTATACTGTAATTCTCCATCATTTTTTATATCAATAGATAGTCTAATATACTTGTTCTTTTTTGTTAGAATTGAATTGAGAATTCATACTGTGTTTTCGTCTTCTAAATCAGATTCCATGCCTATATGGGCTTTTATCTACAAGATATATGAGCTATATAAATCTTGATATGCTTCCATGGTGTTCAGTTGATATGAATCATCATGAACAAAAATACTTTGATCTTTTCAATAAAATAATTTATAATTAATATTATTTTCTGTTAATGATTTATACCAATTTTTCATTTTCAAATGCTAAATATAAAAAATATTTTATTAATAAGATAGTTTTACTAAACAATAAGAAGACATCATTAAGCTGGTGAAAAATTTGCTTTAAATTAATTAAAATTATTTATTTATTTCAGAAAGAGTAATTTTTACTATACATTGTATACTTTGGTTATGGGATTGGCAACTTTTTTTGAAGAATTAAGAATTTATAAATCTTTACTAATTAATTTTGTTTGAAATTTTCCAAAAAATTTAAAAGGATTTTGTATTTACATGCAACAAAATTTCGAAGATGTTTAAACATGCTTTGCGTAACTCTATGTAACATGCATAAATTTGGATTTTTGAGCCCGGATCTACATATAATTTGGCACGTGATTTCCCCTACCCTTAAGGGAAGTTTGATTTTATTGGATGATTTTACCAAAATTAGAAAATTTAGGGAAAATCAAGATTTATTGAACATGTAACGTTGATCACAGCTAGTGTTTCATGTCACAATCCAAAAAAGGAAACAAAATGGTTGTAAAGGTGGTAGCAACCATCATTAAAAGTTGCAGCAGGTATCCTTAATCACAGCAAACAAAAAATTTAATGTCTATTCCTATATTACCATTACTACCACCACTGTCATATCATTCTTGTTCTATTGCTATTGTTATTACTACTGCCACTACTGCTTTTAATGTGCCATTATTATATTTGATCCCATTACATTAGAGAAAGTTAAATCTTTCAAGAAATTTGCATAAATGTTCTATTTATAAATTGATTATCCCTTAAATTCATCAAACCCCCCAGACTAAAAAATATAATAATCAATTATAGAAAAAAAAAGTAATTTATGCCTATTAACTTATTTTGGTTTAAAAAAACTTTTTTGTGAAACTTTTGTTAGTAGCAACGTAAACGCATTTTTAAAATGCAAAAAATTTAATCAATTTTTGGAGTCACCATTATCCGGAAAATTTACCACATCGATGTCACATGAATAAGCATTAAATATGTGATGAAGCATGTTACAATTAATAAGTTTACTTATAACAAAAAAGCCACTTTGTAAATACAACTTCTGATTTTTATATATGGTAAAAATTTTCATACAAGAGTAAATAAAAAAAAAAATAAAAAAAAAAAATAATATTAATGATTATTCTACAATGTGATATCTTAAGAAACAATTTCTATCTCTTCTACTACATTTGTTTCATCAAGGTTATTGATCAATTCTTGTGATCTTCTAGAAATATTGGCAATATAATAGCCTGCCTGACTCATCATCCAATTCATCATTTTCATGTTGAAACATCTTGAAAATATTTTGTTCAATTGAGCTCATTGTAAATTTTTAATTAAAAATAAAATTAATTGTTTAAAATTTTTTTTTCTTGTTTTCGTTATTTTAAAAATCTTGAGGGAAATCAAAAAAATTAATGTAAAAAGCCAGTTTATGATGGATTTTATATTTGAATTTGGTATTATTGTGTATATTAGAGTTAAAGACATGCAATTTATAGACATGCAATTTATAATCATACAATTTAAAGTCTTATGATTTAAAGTCATGTAATTTTAAGTTTTTTTTTATTTACTAAGTATATTGAACTTGTGTTATTTTACTAAAAAAAAACAGAAAGTTTTATTAGTGAAAGAAAGAGAAACAGGGCTTCGGATAATATGTTAGTTCTTTTTGGAAATTCACACTAAAGAATATTTTTGGAAAAGTGCATAAATGACTATATATTTAGGTTTTACAAGCTTATAGAAATGGTTTTCACAATCATTTTTTCGCTTAGTAAATATAATGCTCAGAGTTAAGATGAAGAACTTTTATTTGTGAAAAAAAAGTGGAATGTCAATTCCGTCCATATATGGATGGAATTTCATTTAAGGGATAGTAATGATATTTAATATTAGCTAGGGGTATGGGGGGACAACTCAAAGTTACACATATAGATATTTGCCGATCTTCCAATTCCAAAACTGTCACCCCTTCAAAAATTAAAAATGTCTTACGTTTCATAGTAAAAAAGAAAACTTTACATATAAAACTTTACACACAAGAATGTTTGAACAGCCGATGCAAAAAATTTAAGTTATTATTGTTGAAAACTTTACACTTCTCAAGTCTTGTTTCGATTGGGCTTGGAATGACATTGTTATTTATTAATTACATAATATATATAATATTTATATACGTTTTTATAATGAAGTTTTTTTTTGGCAGTTTCAAATGAAAAGATTTTATTTTCTTCAAGAAGGAAAGTTGTTTTATACACTAGTAAGCATTTAATTTAAAGAAATTAGGAATTTTATAAAAAAAATTTAACATTAATTACTAATTTAATATATATTTATATATACACGCTTTCAATAGAATTTTTTTTTTAACTTTTTAAATGAAAAAGTTTATTCTTGTTAAGAAATGAAGCTTTTATTTAAGACATTACTTATTATTACTGTGAAGGAAAGCAATGAGTGATAGGAAAAAAACAAAATCTTTAAATAAAATTTTTTTTGTTCTTCAATTACAATTTTAAGAATAATTACTGATTTGAATAATATTTTGTGGTTAACTTTAAAAAATACTTTCCTGTATTTCTACTCAAGTGCAAATATATTCTTTTTTGCTAATGCTTCTTCACTAAAAGGTGTTTCACTTTTCAAATGACTTATAAGTAAAGGAACCAATGTATTTTTTCTTTTTTGTGATGTTTTAACTCCAAATGCCCATAATAACCAGAGCAGATCTGTAACTAAAAAATTTTTTGCAAATTGATTTTCTACATCTTCAAGATGTGCCCATACTTGAAGCTGAACAAGTGCAAGCATTGGATCTGTTGGTAAGTTTGCTTTCTTTATTTGATTAGATATTTTACCTTTCTCATTATTTGAAAGATTCTGGTTATTTGAACGCATAACCTTAAGATTTTCCCTAAGGCTTGCTGTACCTTTCTCTGGTATGTAACCATTATGTTGTCTCCATGTTTTTTGCCAGCTTTTCATGTAGGTAGAAACTAATTTTTCAAATAAAAAAATCAGATCTTCATTTGACAAAGTCAACTTACCTTCAAAATTTTCAGAACTAATATTATCTTGAATTGCAAATTTCAATAATGATGAAAATTTTTCATGCAAATGTAAGTTATTTAACAGGCTGATTCTTATGTAATGTAAAATATTTGGACCAAGCTCATGATGTTTTTCAAATAATTGAATTATTATGGATTCAAAATGATACATGAAGTCCATGATTTCTGGTCCAGGTATGATATTTGTTGTTTGTGAATGAATTTCATGTACATATTCTACATTTTCTGAGCAAAGATTCTTAAGTAAAGAACGCATAATTCCAAATTTTGGATGAGACATCATTACTTTGTCATCTTTTGTAAGCTTAAATACAACCCATCCAACAATATATGCAAATTTTGAAGCTTCTGCAGGATCTAAATTTACAATTACTTGAGGCAACAAATTGGGGTCTGCTCCTTTTTCAAATTCAACATTTTTTGTGCCATTACCTTTAAATGTCTCTAGAATTACTTTTTGCAACATTGAAAAGGCAACAATTCGTTGAACAGAAAGTGAAAATTGTGATAATTGAAATTCTTGTTGAAAATACACAAACCAAGTTCCAGAACACAAGTAATTGTTGAGACGATTTTCTAAGTTGGAGCTCCATCTTAACATCCATTTGACTCCTCTTTTTTTTGGAATTGCACTTTGTGCAATCAGTCTAACTTCATTCTGCCAATTTTGTAATAAAACATCAATGGAATTATGATAAATTAGAAATTCAACAAGTTCATACCGTTTTACATTAGAATTAAGAATACTTAAGTTTTCATTGTTGATATATTCATTTAATGAGTTTGATAGAGGTGCAATTCTTCCCATAAGTAGATCATCTTGGAGCAGAGTTTCAAAAATTTTTTGAGATAGGAGAGATAAAGTTACTAGGCGTGATGAATGGAGATTTAAAGAGACAAGTGCTGGATTGCTTTCATTTGACATTTGTTTTCGATAATCTCTAAGTTATAAATCAATTTAAATATCATTATTAATTATGAAAATTCATTGAAAAAACCAAATAAAAGCATGCTGTACCTTCTTGATAGGAAATGCATTCCACTACCAACATTATTTGCATTTCCATAATTAAAACTTTTAACTTCTGATGATTCTAATGCAGTTATTTGATATTTATTTAAAGCATGACCATACCCTTGCAATGTTTGTGTTGAGGAGTCTCCACTGAGTTCACGAATGGTCCCAAACAATCCTTCTAACATATCCTGTGAAATTCTTCGTGGTTGAATAGCTGCAATTTTATATCTTGATAGAATGTATTCTAACATCCCAAGAAAGCCATTTATGGACAAAATCAAATCAAATTGACATTGAGATGAAATCCATTCCATGGCTCCTTTTTTTTGGTTATCACCTAGCAAAAACCAATCATGAATATTTTTTAATGTTTTAATTCGTGGATCTTCCATATTTATGAAACTAATTTTGCTATGAAAAATATGTCTATAATATCTTGAATTTCTAATAAATTTCTGTAAAGATACATGTTAATAATAATAGGATAGAATTTATAGAATGATTTTGGCAAAGATAGAAAAAAATGGTTCTTACCCTTGTTCCTTCAGAAATATCTTTCAATTCTTCAATAGCTTCTAATGCATTTTCAACATCCTTTGAAAGAGTCTGTTCAGCTAAATCAACACGCATCTTACTCCAAGATGTTAACCAGATATGACGTTTGGTTAGCCTTGTTGCCTTAGCTGTTGCATGACAGCTAGTATAATCATAAACTCCTTTAATATGTTTCCAACTGACTTCTTTACCATCAAACATAATTTCATGCACATTTTTTTCGCTACCTTGTCCTGTATGACTCTTTGATAAATTATTACGAAGCTTCTTGAAAACATGAGTTGGGTCGCTAATGAAAAACCATGGATCTCCTGTAATTGGATTCAATGTTTTATGCCATGACCAGATATCATGTTCACTTACTATTTTTTGATCCTCATTAATTGAGAGTTGGCTTCCAATAACAGGTCTTAAAAATTTCTGATCAATAGTGATCCCTTCAGTAAATTCCTGATCAAGCTTTTGGACAATAAATTTTGTACGATCAATGTTAGCATTTAGGATTTTAGCAGAATAAGAGTTACCTTTTTCTATAACAACTTCCACAATATCACCAACAGACCAGGTCGAAGCAAACCAATCAAAACTTTTTATGTGATTTCGATTCTCACTAGCTCCATCACAAACTGAGCCACAAGTATGGATTCCAATGCATTCCAATTTTGCAGCAAGACCAAATAATAAAGTATTCAGATCATGAGTTGACAATGTATTAACTCCATAATATGATAATGGAAAAGAAAAATTATGTGTTATTGAATGCCAGACAATTTGATGAACTTGTGTTGCCAGACCATGTTCATATTTTTCTGATATATGGTCAGGTGAAATAGTATTGCTTCCCATTGCATTTAATTCTTTTTCACAATTTATAGCAAATGATTTTAAATCTTGAGCTTCATCTTCAAAATCTAAGTAACCAACATAACTATTACTACGTTGGCTCCAAAGAAGTCCTATCAATTTAATTATAAATTAGTCACTTTGTACTTTAATTATTCAATTATTTCCCAGCATAAACTAACCTTTTTGAATTTTGAAAGAATCATGAGAAAAAAATCCAATTCGACCATGACCCCATACATTTTCTAATGCCAAACTACACAGAATTCAATGTGCTGTCTCATCTTGCCAACCAGACTTTTGCTCATATTCATTTATATAGCTCTTGAGGGTTGATACTGATGGTAAACGCATTATCCCCTTCAAAGAATCATAAGCAGCATTACCTCCACGACTGTAAACAGAAATAGCCCATCACAAAAACCTAAAAGTTGAAAAATAAATAATTCTTTCCTTTTTATTAAATCATTATAGTAACATAAGTAACATACATAGGATGATATCTTGTCCCTTTTGGTTTTCCACATTGTATACATATGAGCTCTTGAAAAATAGGATTGAGTGATAAAATATCTGTTGCATTGTTTGAAATATTTGTAGAAATTTTTTCAACAATACTTGCCATTTCTTCTGATACTTCTTCCTCTTCATTCTCTACTTTCCTTTTTAGTTGGTCTTTTAAAGATTCTATAATTTTGTTGGATTTTTTAATAACCTTTGATTAAAAATTAATAAAACAATTGTTAATTCTAAAATGGTAATAATTTACAATTCCAAATTCACAGAAAAATTACCTTTCGTTGCTCTTGAACAGCTTCACTAAGGATTTCTTGTGATGCATGATTTGTTTTCACAGATTTTGTACCAGTGAGATATCTACTACGTATTTTTATCAAGGTATTCTTTAATTTTTTGCAGTTTTCACATGCACCTTTTAAATCTACAAGAAGATGACAATCTACTCGACGATAAATTTCATTGGGTTTTCCTTTGTTTTCCAAAAATGCAAAAGGCTCATGAGTACCATCAGGACCAAGCTTATTGTTTACAAGTTGTAGGCCTCGATTACGTGTTACTTCTTCAAATCCTAAATAAAGAAACAATAATTTTTTAATAAAATTGGCTGTTAAAATATCAAGATAGGGTTTAAATACCTTTTGTAGATTTTCCATTACAAATTTTTGCATCAAATACATATTCAATTGCCTCTTCTACATCTGTAAATGTTCTTTCTGCTGCAACTCCTGGTCTTATTAAGTCAATATCCTTCACCACTTTTCCCAATACATTCACCTCATATGAGATTAAATTTCCATTCCAAACAATGGTCATATCTTTTTCTACATTTCCTTCACTTCCAAAAAAAATTAATCTTAAGCCTTTTTCAATTTCACTTAATCCAGTTCCAAATAATTTACCATTTAATTTAATTTTATTTTTAATTGATGATGTAACGTCTAAAATACTTGCAGTTGAGTTATTCTTCCAATAAGGTAATTGAACAGATGGTCTTAATATGGATGCAAGGTTAGGGCTGGAAGTAACAGGCTCTAAAAAAATTGTAGCAATTGCAGACCTTTCCCCATTGAACAAACCTTGCTTTTTAAGAACATTTAACCATTGAAAAAAAGAATTGAACTTATTTCCACTTTTTGGATCATATACATATGACATATTTTCACTTCTATCATAAATCAAAATTCCCTCTACAAATTTATTAGATTTATAAAAAAAGTAAACCGACTTTCCTTTAAGATCAGGACGTATTTGAATAAGTTCTTGCAAAGCTTCTAGTTGTTTTATTTTTTTGTTTTCTGAAAGGGGGCTACTTTCAACGTTTTCTTCAAGTATATGTTTCTATTAATGTCATAAAACAAAAAATTTAAAGTTAATTTGAAGTTAATTGTAAAATTTAAAACGCGTAATGTTGAAAAATTCTTGCCATTTTTGAAATTTTTGGACTGATGGTATTTTTTAAAAGCTTTAGAAAAAATATTTTGAAAAAACCTATATCAAAATAAAGCTGAAGATTTTCTCTCACAAGTATGAAAATTTTAACCGTGATTAATTTGTGAGTTTTTGTGTACAAATATGAACGTGTTTCGCGTTTTATTTATTTTTACTAATAAATACTATGAATTTCATATGGGTGACAGTTTTGAAATTGACAAATGTATATGTGTAACCTTGAGTTGTCCCCCCATACCCCTAGATATTAGTATATTCATGTTCATTCACCATATAATTAATTGCATATATAACTATTATTTTAAATATTGTTTGAAGGTATATCTTTTAACTAATTTATATACTGCACATTCTTCTAACAATTGAACTTTTCTAAGATTCAAATTGTTTTTATAAGAACTATCTAAATAATAATGACAATAAGGTTCATTGTTAATACTGTTACGTAGATCTAAATCAAAGAAATTTACAGTAATTTCATTAAATTTTATATCATTTATAGTATATTGAACAATTTGTTTATCATGATATAATGCATGTTTAGGCACCTTGACTCTACTTAATGTTGAATTATTTAGTTGATTTTCATCAATTTTAAATATAAAACTTTTATCTGTTACAATCCAATACTCTTGATTTGGAGATTTTTCTTTTATGTTCCAACAAACTGGATTATAACCACCCACTAATTCACCTGTCTCTTTAATTTTCATTAACACTATAGTTTTTTCAATATTATAACATTTCTGCTCATATATTGATCTTGCAAATCCATCTTGACTTCCACAATAAATTAATTCAAAATCATAGGGTATATTATTTTCATTATAACCATTATTATTTTGATCAATCCAACCAGAAATCAAAGCTTTTAAATTTAAATTTAATAATATTCCTTTCCTGATTCTTGTTCTTGGACCTTTTTGAAGAAGTAACTTAGGTTGCCATTTTTCATAACTAACATAATATTGAAGAAGTTCTTCATATACTTCTTTATTAAAGGCTTTTCTATATGGTCTAATTTTCTCATAAAAATTACTTGAAGAAATATTATTGAATCTAATTAATGGAATAATATCTTCCAATATATTTTTCAACACTTTGAAATTATCCTTTTTCCACTCTGAAATCTTTTTTTCCAGTAATTCTTCATTTTGTCCTATTCCCCATTTAATAATATAATTCCAAACATCAATTTCTTCTAATTCTAAATCATCTTTTTCTAACATAGATATAATTGTTGTTTTTTCAATTGTTGCAATGTCATTTGATTTTAAAAATATTTCTGGTTTTTCACAAATTAATTTATTACAATAATCTTGAAGTAATCTGAACAATTGATGTTGTGATGAAACTTTACAAATGTAAATAAAATTTTGGTGAACCCATTCATTCTTTTCATTGATTAAATAATTTTGTAAATCATCAATTAACTCATTAAAATTTAATTCATCACATGCTTCAAGAAGTTCTAAAATTTCTTTTACATCCAGGTTATCAATATTAATAATTCCATTGTACATATATCTTTTAAAAATATGAATAACAAGAAAAAAAAATTTTTAGATAAATTATTATAATTATTAAACAATTGTATTCAACTATTATTAATAAATCAAATTGCTTGGATTAACTAACATTAAAAGAATTTCAAAAACTCTTGGAGAAATATTTTCTTTTTCAAAAAAAATATTACCATTATCAGATTTTTTAATCCAATTTGAGATAAAGCCGTCTTAAAATATGGAGACCTTGCCTTTAAGATAGTGGAATGAGCTTTGAAAATTTTGCTATCCTTTTCCACTCCAACCTTGATTTCAACATCATAATAATCTGAATTATTTAACAAATTTGAAAAATCATTTACTAGCTTATTAAAATATTTTAATGGTAGGGTGTTATTAATGTTAAGGTCGTTAAATAAGAATGCAATCTTTTCCAAGGATGAGAAACTGTTATTATTAGACATTTTGAAGAATTATTTTTAAAAAATTTTATAGACGAAAAACCAAATTAGTTTAACTATCAATTTCTGAGTCATAAAGTTACACGAAGTTTAGTACCAGGGCAAAAGTACAAGGTAAGATTGATTGTATACTTCAAAAATTCTATAACACGTTTATTGTCATTAATTATAAAACAATAAGACTCATTTTTAATAGGCATAAACTACAAAAATTTTAAATGTTTCATGAAATTTTATACAATTATTATGAATAATTGCATGTTTAGGATTTTCGACTTAATATTTTTAATATTGAACTACCACATTGGTTTTCATCAATTTTAAAAATAAAACTGATCTGTTTCAATAAAATACCCTTTGATTTTTTTAGATGACAACACAAAGCCCCGATCCTTTTTGTACGTACCAAACAGCAGATCAGTTTTCTGAAATATTTAGCATTCTTCCGCCAGTTCCAATTATCAATAATACTGTTGACATTTCGAGTACAACTACATCAATATTAAATGATTTTTCAAATGATGGTTTTCAAACTCACAGTAGCAAGAATAGTTCCCAAAAGGAAGCTATTGATGAAGAAGATGGCGATAGTGATGAAGCTCAAGGAATCTTTAAAGGCGTTATTTCTTCACATTATCTTCAGTCTCAAAAAATTTTCTCTGATGTTAACAGTAATAATATTGACAATAATATTAAAGTGGTGGTGGAAGAGGCAGAGGAGGCAGAGGAGGTGGAAGGAAAGATAGGGGCAGAAGGAAAAGAAAGCAATGATGAATTTGGGTCGGAAGATGCCAAAAGCAAACAACAATACACAACTATTACTACTACTAATCCTAATAATATATTATCAAAATCATCATCATCATTATCATCATCATCATCGTCATCATCATTACCGTTGTCATCATCACCATCACCATCACCACCATCATCATCACCTAACAAAAACAATAATATTAATATAACAATTAATTCAGAGCAATCATCCATCAACTCTGTTATATCCCCGTTTGATCAACACTTTAACAAGTCAAATAAAAGTGTAGCGAACATTCCAAATGATGCTGATATATTAAATAATAAAGAGTTTAAATTTGAAGATGGTGTGATCGAAAATTCGTCATAATTGTTGTTAGTAACAAATGAATTAAAAACATTTTGAATAATAATAATGACGGTTAGCAATAATATCCTTCCAAGAACAATATATTTATATATTTATATCTTTAATTAATTTTGTTTTATATTAATATAAAATTATTATTATGCTGATTTAATTATTTCATTATGAATGGCGTATTTATATTTTAAATGTTGATTTTTTCTTCTTTACACATAAAATGTAAAAAAAAAATTGCAATATTTAATATATATTATATTTGTGTATTATTTATTTAATTTTAATTGTACAAAGATTTTTTAGATAAAGAATGTTTCCAATTTATTTTTATTTAATGAAAAACCCATTTATTGGGCGTTTATACATTAATTTTTTTTCCTTAAATTAATTAATAAATAAATACTACCACAAACAATAATAAAATCTATAAACAAAAAATTAAAATAAATAAATAATCATTTATAAATATATAAAAGTACAGTTATGATTTTCTTTTGTCAAATGTTTCTTTTTTTTTTAACTATAAATATTAATCTTCATTTGCTTTAACAATTCATTTGCTTTTGGGTGTTTATTTAAAGCTGCCAATTTCAAATATTTAATTCCTTCTTCTTCATCTTTTGTAATATCAAGTTTTCCATTAATATACACATCACCTAAACTATATTGTGCTGTAGAATTGTCATTGTTAGCAGCCAATTTAAGATATCGAATAAATTCTTCTTCGTTAAAATTGGCTTTATTTCCAATCATTGAGAATGCATATCTTAATTGTGCATCAGGAACACCTCCATCAGCTGCTTCTTTAAACAATTTAGCTGCTGCCACTTTATCTTTGCGACCACAATATCCTTCCCACAAATAATATCCTTTCCAATATTTAACTTTTGGATTGTTAAAATCAGCATGTTTTTGAAAACATGCCCATGCTGTTTTGTGATCTTTTGCTTTATGAGCTTTAATACCATCATCAAGCATCATGGTTGTACTCGATTGGGGGAATTTATTTAATTGTATACTGCCATCTTCTTCACTTATGGAAACAGGTTTCTTGCCTTCTTTTAAAGATCCATCAAAATCAATAGATTTTGATGGGCCTAAACGTGATTCAGCAACAGGCGGAGGATATTTTGAATGTAAACCATCCAATTCCAAGAAAATTTTCTGAAGTAATGATCTTGATAAAGGATCGGCTTTCCATGCTTTTTTTTTTGTTGTTTTGGTAATATTTGCAAATTAATAATAATAATAATAATAAGTTAAAAATATTAATTTCAAATAAATAAATTTGTTTATATGTAAATTATTAATCTCACCTCCTTTTATTATTTCAGCATATTCTTGTTGGAGATTTTTGGTTTCATCATCTACATCATCACCAAATTGTATATTTTCTCTACCACCAGCTAATACATGTTTCTTAACTTTTGTCATGTCCCATTTTCCATAAGGCACTACTTCAAAAGCAAGTTCCCAAAGTAACATACCAAAACTGTATATAAGCAAACATAAAATCATTAAAATCATTAATCAATAAATTACTGAATTATAAATATTGATTATTTTAAAAATTTATACCTGAAAATTTCACATTTAAAGTTATAAGGTTGTTTTTGTTCATATCTCAATTTTTCTGGAGCTAGCCAATGAACAATTTCAGTCATATGTTTCATATCAATAGTTTCACCACTGATATGACGAGCATAATCAAAGTTAGCAATTTTTGTTTTTTGATTTTTGTCCATCTTACCAAATAAATGATATATAATATTTAATAATAATATTTAATAATAGTAATAATGTTTATTGATAATAAATTTTAATTACCATAATATTTTCACAACGAATATCATGATGAAGAATTTGACATGAATGCAAAAATGTAAGACCACGACAAATTTCAAGAGCTATTTCAACTTTAGTGCGCCATTTAATATCATATTCCTCATAAACTTTTTTTAAGCTGCCCAATTCTGCCCATTCAAGCACTATTACTGTTGCTTTATCAATAGTTGAAAGACCATAAAATTTTATTATATGATCTGACTCACGTAGCTTTCCTAAAATAGTGAATAGTCCTTGTGCCTTTTGATATTCATGTGAATTTTCCTCTTCATTGGGTATTGTGACAGACTTACATGCAACTTCTATTACTTTTCTCAAAGTTTTCTTAACAATATAAGGTGATTTTCCTCGTCGATCAGTTTTTTTTGGATACATAGGATCTTCTAACTCAGATGGTAATACTTGAACTGCTTTAATGGGATTGTCATCAGGTGGCGCAGGTTTATTATTTTCAAGTGACTCGATTTGACCTTTTATAATCATAACTTCTTGAAGTACTGTATTAAGTTTTTGTTCTTCGTCAATAATGCCACCATGAATAGTTTCTAAAAACTGATTTTTTAATTGAGAAAAATTAGTAGTAATAATAACAATAATAATGATAATGATGACAATGTAATGATAATATATATAATAACCTTAGACATCCCATTAATATCTTCCTTTAAGCTTTTTTGATCAATTTCACTTTGTCTCTGAGCAGATACAGTTAACGCGAAATGTAAATCATGCACTACAGTATCAAAT